CAGCAACACCACAGTACCAAACAGAGCAACAACATTGAATAGAGCAGCATCATCGACCTTCCTCTCCTTGCCAGTGGGCAGAAATAGCCTTTCCTTCAGCCATCAAACAGAGCAGCAACACCTTCCTTTCCTTCATGCACTAAATCGAGCAGTAGCAGCAAAACAGATTCTCTTCTTCGCAACAGAACAAAGCAGCATTTGTTTCCCAATGGGTAAGAATTTATATGATTGTTAATTGTTAATAGGAATTGATTTTTTATTAACCAATATATATATATATATATATGATTTGGAAAAATATATATATGTAATGCATTGACGCTGTGATGTTCAAATCAACATATGTGATTGCTGTGATGCTTTTTTTTATTTGTTTGTAATCTGTAATGTATTGATTTTGAATTTTAATATTTAATTTAAACAAATTTTTATTTATCATTCTTAGATTCATAGAGTTTTTCTTAATAGTTGATATATTTGTGTAAATTATAGAAAAATATCATCTTCAAGACTTATATATATATATATATATTCAAGACTTATTTTGTAGTGAAATTGTGAATTTGATTTGAGACTTTCTTCTATATTTAAGATTTATTTTGTAATAAATTTAGTTTAACATTGAGTTGTTTTTTATTATCATACTTGAAAAACTTATCTTGTATTATGTGTTTTAATATTTGTTGGTTTAAATCTTAAAAATTATATGTATTTAATTAAATTTATTATTTTAATGACCTAAATGATGGTTTTTAAGTTGATCTTATGATAACTATTTCTTAAGAATAAATGAAAGTAAATACAATAGTAAAATCTAATAAATATGTAAAAAAAAAAACTTCTTTTTAGTTGATCGGTTGGACCGATTGTGTGAACCGGTTCAATCAGTTCAACCAAATCTGATGGCCAAACAAAGTCAGCCACTTGGCCAGGCCCAAAAACACTGGTCGTGATGAACTTAGCATGTGCCTGGGTAGGTTCGTTGTGAACCTAGGTGCACACGCACATTGGGTATGTCGTGAACCTAGCTAAGCGTGCGTTGGGTTCGTCACAAACCCAACCAGGTGTGCACGTGCTGAGTTCATCATAAAACTAGATGCGTGCCTGGGTGTGTTCACGACGAACCCAATAAAAGTAAAAAATAAAAATAAAAAAAATAAAATAAAGCTAGAAGGGCGAAAATGCTAACGTTGATTCAAAAATATGTCCACATTATTTTTTTTTTATAAAGTGGATTTTTCACATTACACAATTTCGTTAATTAACTGGCACCTGTAAAAAAATTTAATGAAAGAACCAAAAAAGGATCGGATTTCAATCTTTAGGGATTAAGGATATTTTTTCAGTATAAGGATAAAAATGGACTTTTTTCAATAATAGAGGGACTAAAAAAGAATTTAACCTTTTTTAGTGACTAAAACTGAACAAAAAATGTTTATGAATTTGGTTTTATAATTGAAATAATTAGTTTTAAGTTATCGGTTATTAGTTATAATTAAATCTACCTATTTCGAATGGTCAAGCTGCGGATTTGTGCCCTACGTATTATTTTTTTCTATTATTAACACCTTTAAAAATTTTTATTTTTGGT